CTACTTATTTCAGTTGAAAATTGAAAATCTTTGATGAGAAACTCTCAAGTTGTGAGGTAAACCCAGGCTGTTGGACTTTTTTTATTAAATTTTATACACCTACTGAAATCACTAATGAATTATGAGTTTTTAATACACTGAGAGTCTTTGACTCATTTTATATAGTATAAGTTTCATAGTCAAACAGCTTAGCTAGATTCTTTTTCCATTCCTCATGTCTGAGACAGGAAGGAAAATGACTAAGTGGATTTCTAGTTCGACTGAAATAGCTATGCGTTTCTTTTTGTACCCAGACGTTGAACATTCTGCAGTCTGGATAAGAACATAATATTTACCATAGACTTTGAAAGTTTTTGCCCTTCAGAGCACCAGTGATATATCTTTATTAGGCAGCATTATTGAGGATGTGAGTTGCAGAATTTTATTAATTTGATGATAAGTGACAGATATTGCTCTTAACAATTAAAATTAAACAATAAAATTCAATGGACTATTTCTTTGTAAGACAGATACCCATGTCCAGTATATAAATAGAATGATTTTAAAAATCATTTACTTAAAACACCTGGGGATTCAGAAATGAAACAGAATTTTTCCTTATACATATGTAATCTCTGTACCTCTTTAAAATCCTATTTCTTCCTAGACTCAATATAAATCCCATTTAACCCTCTTTTTCAATCTTTGTCATTAGCATATTAGTCCAGGCTTTGTCTGGTTACTTAGAACTTTTGCTAATCAGGATTTTGTTCTCAGCATGGGCCTTTTTGTTTTATTCCCACTGGTGGCAATTAATTTTTTCCACTCTCTTGCCCCTGTAGATTGTTTCCTCATTTTATATTTCAAAGTTCTCACTTTGATGGAGGATTTGACTCTTTCTCTTCACCTTTCCGAAAGCTTAGTCCACCCAGACCAATCATTGAAGACCTAATGGAAATCCCCTTCATCTCCTTATACTACTAACAATTGTAAGTTTATATTTGTTTGAGGGCCTATGTTCTATAAAGAAGAACTTTTTTTCACCCCTTATTATTATTCATTCACAATTATTTATGGAATTCCCAATCTATTTGCAAAGTATGACTAGACATGTGTATTCACCATGGAGGTGGGGAGGAAGGGGAAAAATATGAATCAGATTTATTGCATACTCTAGAATTGCATATAGTTTTGTTCAAAAAGTAGGAGGCACACAAAACACTATGATATACAGTAGTAAGGAACAAATGTCTCCAGCTTCCAAAAACATCATTGGTGAAATTTCATCTATAGTGTAAAATTTTTTAGGCTAATCGGGGGGAGAAAAAGCACCTTCGTTCTTCAAATGTGCATATACTTGTCCTGGCTATGTTGTCCCATGCTGTTAGGATTAATATTTTAGTCTAGAGCAAAGGGTTTGGGCCTGAGCCTTGGGAGTCCTGAGTTGTGATTCAATAGATCCTAAGTACTGCCTCCTGTACTGTGTCACTGCTCTGAGCATATGGTACTGATTGGTGACTTATTATTTTATAATTAAAATGCAAACCTCTTCTTATGTTCCAGGTAACATGATTTTTTTTTCCTGGCTGGACATTAGACATTTTACCTCTTGGAATAAAATGTACCCCTCATGATGCTCTGATGCACGACTAAACTGTCTGATAAATATCATTGGAATACTATGTATTTTCAGCCACTCTTCCTCATAAGAACTAGTAAGGCAGATTCAACCCCCCATTTCCTAGATTTTGAAAGACAAATTATTTCCACTACCTTATTCTTTGAAGCTTACATTCTCATGTTTATTTCTAACTCTGAGCTTTTGCTTATACTACATTGTATCACTTTAGAAATGGTCTTACCTTCTCATATGCACTGTCCCTGGACCATATACATAGGGTATGCTGCCTTATTAGTTAATTTCCTCAAGGAAAATGACTTTGAGGGTAGCAGACTTTATTGGTTTTAGAAGGATGAGGGAATTTATGTGTAAACCAATCCCCCCAAGAGCCATAAATTTATTGTTATACATATCTGATGAGCAAAGTGGACAGTGAGGAGCAAAATGAATAGGAATCCAGTTCTAGAATCAGAGTGCCTGGAGTAGAATCCTGGCTTTACCACTGCCATGAATCACCGTGTGACCTTAAGAAGTTACTTCAAGTGCCTGTGCTTCAGCTTCTTCGTGAGCACCTACCTCGTGGAATTTTTTAAAATGGGGGATTGAGTTATATCCATTAATTCAAACAAATTGCTTAGAATACATGAGAATGTAAGCTCCAAAGAATAAGGTAGTGGAAAGAATTTGTCTTTCAAAATCTGGGAAATGGAGGGTTGAATCTGCCTTACTTAGTTCTTATGGGGAAGACTGGTTGAAAATACACAGTATTCCAATGATATTTATCAGACAGTTTAGTCGTGTATCAGAGCATCATGATGGGTACATTTTATTGCAAGAGGTAAAATGTCTAATGTTCAGCCAGGAAAAAAATTCATGTTACCTGGAACATAAGAAGAGGTTTGTATTTATAGTAAGTAACA